TTATAATGGACCAAGCACAGTGGAAACGGGAGAGGCGATCCCGAAAGGAGGGAGATGGATCCTGGGTAGTGGCTGGGGCGCCGTCCTCGAGTGCACCTTCAAAAGTTTTGTCTAGGACCTGAAGGTGGCCTAAGTGGGCCCTGGTTCTGACCGGGTTGAGGGCCGGTCGACCTTCGTCTACCACCTAGTCCCTGCCTTCTGGCAAAGTTTTGTCTTGGACGAGGTGAGGGAGGGTAGAACCTTTGCGGCTGGGGCCTAAAGGGTCTGCGCTGGGGCCCTGGGACATGCATCCCCAGGGAGCGCTTGATGGTTCTCGAATCCTTGAGGCTCTGCAATCGAGAGTCTGTCTTGTCCGAGAATAACCCTTGGCCCTCGAACGGTAGATCCTGCAGGGTCTGCTGCAGTTCTGGCGGTAAGCCCGAAACCTGGAGCCAGGAGACGCGTCGCATAGCTATGCCAGATGCTAGTGTCCTGGTGGCCAAGTCCGCTATGTCCAGGGAGGCTTGTAAGGAGGTCCTAGCCACCTTCTTACCTTCCTCCACTAAGGCCCCGAACTCCTCCCTTGAGTCCTGGGGAACCAACTCTTTGAATTTACCCATGGAGTTCCATGAGTTGTAACTGTAGTGGCTCAAGAGCGCCTGTTGGTTCACGGCTCTGAGCTGCAGACCCCCCGCTGAGTACACCTTACGCCCGAACAAATCGAAGCGTTTAGTGTCCTTCGATTTGGGCGCTGCCGCCTGCTGGCCATGACGCTCTCTTGCATTCACCGAGGACACGACTAGTGAACACAGTGGAGGGTGCGTGTATAAGTATTCATGGTCCTTGGAGGGGATGAAGTACTTTCTCTCTACTCCTCTGGCAGTGGGTGGAATGGAGGCAGTGACCCAAGTCAGCGGCAGCCTGACCCTGGGGAGGGTATGCTGATCGTGAAGCCCCGTCGGATGAGCAAGACGCTGATCTCGAGGGCCAGGGCGGTGCCGAAAGCAGCTGCATCGGCTCGGTCCGGTTCAGTGCCGATCGGTGCCGGTCCGTAGGCGAGCAGTCCCTGCGCAGTGCCGGTGAGCGGTACCGTGATCGAGATCAGTGCCGCTGGCCATGTTGGTGCTGAGATCCGGATCTGGACCGAGATGAAGACGACCACCTGTAGGCGTGGTGCCAGGAGCGGCCCCTCGAACTGGAGCGGCACTCGTACCGGTGCTGAGAACTACGTCTAGATTCCGACCGGTACCGATGGTCCTGACCGTGCAGAGACGTCGATCGGTGCCGTGAAGAAGACCTAGGCCGCGAGTACGACTGGTGCCGGGGTGAAAGTCGGCGCTGGGACTGTGAGCGGCGTCGGGACCTGCTCCGAGACCTGGAGCGGTGCCGCGAGTCCACGCTCGGAGATGGCGGGCGTACCAGGGCAAGCTTGCCCCTGGATTGCACAGTCCGAAGAGCGGGCGGTGCCGCGGGTTGAGACGGCGCCGGCTCCGT